AGAAAGTTATTGTAGTGTTTTTGATTTCTAAGCAGTCAGTCTGACAGTTCCATTATGCCTCCTTCCATGAAATCAAAGGTTAAGGGGGACAAAACCACACACCAAGGCCCGCACCAATACTAACCGTGTGCATCCTCCTCTGTACTTGAAAAATCCCTGGCAAAAGTTCAAGCCAACTTTTTTAAAGAGCCCCACTACACCACCAATATAGACAACCACCAGAGGTATTTTCCAAACAGCTTTATTAAGGTGTGCCAAGTTGCACAGGCAGCACATTGTAAGACTGGGGGGGTGGGGGGAAACAAAGTCACATGTACACAATAGTTTTAAAATGTCGCCCAAACTCCACAGGGCTTCTTCTTCTTCCCAGCTGACATAGCTGCAGGCAGCCTCTACTTAAGCTTTTTTTTCTTTTTTTAAAAAAAGGAATGCAGGGCACTTTGAAAAAACCCACACACACAAAAAGAGTAACGGAGGAAGTCTTCCTTGGCAGGAGCCAAACGAAATTTACGAGGCATGCTGAGCAGTCGAGAAGCACAGTTTCAGTGTGTACGGATACGGCCCATCTAGGCAGAAGAGGAGACATTCATCAGGGTCCCCTGAGATTTATTTGTTTTTGTGGCAACACAAGGGATGTATGTATTCAGAGGGATGGATGAACCAGTGAAAAGAGGGTTTTCATAAGTTTCCAGATTTTTTGTTTCCACACACTCCAATCTACTTAAGAGTATGTGTCATGCCCATGGGTGCATATGCAGAGTCTAGGCCCCCACAGCCAATAGGCTTGAAAGAAGAATTCTATTGTAGTCACTGGAAGACTTTTTTTAAAAAACAGCTAATTGCAATATGGGAAAATGCCCCCACTTCCAACTAAGCTTGGGAAAAACTCCTTCACTGGCTACAGAAGAAAACATTTTTTAGGGCTAACTACAATGGAGATGGGCGCGGGTGGCGTTGTGGGTTAAACCACAGAGCCTAGGGCTTGCTGATCAGAAGTTGGCGGTTCGAATCCCCGCGACAGGGTGAGCTCTCGTTGTTCAGTCCCAGCTCCTGCCAACCTAGCACGTCAAAGTGCAAGTAGATAAATAGGTACCGCTCTGGCGGGAAGGTAAACCGTGTTTCTGTGCACTGCTCTGATTCGCCAGAAGCGGCTTAAGTCATGCTGGCCATATGACCTGGAAGCTGTCTGCAGACAAACGCCGGTTCCCTTAGCCTGTAAAGCGAGATGAGCGCCACAACCCAGTCATCCGCAACTGGACTTAACGGTCAGGGGTCCCTTTACCTTTACCGTCTAGAAAGGCTGGCAGTGATTTTCAGGATTTCAAACAGTCTTTCCCAGATCTACCTGGAGATGCCAGGAATGAATGTGAAACCCTTGGCACACGAAGCTTGTGCTCTTCTTCCCAAGGGAGAAGGAGCGGATCCTTTTAACATATGCCTACCACCTACACTATTTTCTTGTATTTTTTAAAAAAAAATTAAATGGATACTTTAAGAAATATGACAGATTAAATCAGGCTACTTTTTTAAGATGATGCAATGGTTTTTAGACAATCAAAAGCACAGCCCTATCCTTGACTAAGAAGTAAGCTCCACTGGATTCAATGGAGTTTACTCCAAGGTAAAGATTTAAGTTTGCTAAACACTGCAGCCCTTGAAGGTATCCTTTTACCACTAGAGTCTAATGAAACAATTACTGCATGCTTTTACCAAAAGTTCCAAATTTTATAACTTTGAAAGTCAGAAAAATGCCTGCTCAATCTTAGCAATTGTTTCAGCTGCCTAGTCCTCAATCTAATGTAGTGACTGTGCAAAAAAAGGGGTGGGGAGGGTTGCTAATGGCACTATTAACATTGAGGGTGGGGCACACTCTCCTGCATTGCACCAACTGGCAAGGGAGCTGGCATTAAGCCACTCAGCCCAGTTAAGGTAAATAGTACTTCAACGTACCCTAGAGGAATTTACACCCTCCCTGGCAAGTCTCAGCATCCCCAGGGATATAGCATAATGCCCACTGCCAGCATCCTTTCGACAGTATTGAGCACTCTTTGGGGGCATTACATTTTTTGCTTTTAGCATTATATTTTGGGCTTGTGCAGAAGCCCTTTATGTATACCAGTGTGCAAAGTCCATTAGAGTCCCACTATGGCGGAAGTGGACAATTAGGCAGGGCTCAGGGGAAGAGGAAGAGAACCAATACGAGTAGTTCAGAAGAAGGGGTGCCTAAGTCGACTTACTACTTGGCGATTTTGGATGAACCGTGTAATGTTTGAGGACTCCAGCTCCCTATCAAACCCATAGCCAAGCACGGCCCAATAGGAGGAGATGATGGGAACTTGTCGGCCCCCCCCCCCCACCACCCCCCCCCGTGTAGTAGGCATTTACTACCCATTTAGTTCTAAATGGCTCATCAATAAATATACTAGTGAACCTCAGACTCTTCCCTGACTGCAAGGGAAATAATGGAAGAGTATGGTCAGAATTCACTGATTCCTACTGACATTTGAGATAGATCTATAATATAAGCCAGTTTTCACTGAGGCATAGCTGGAGGCAATGATCTGTAGTGGTGCCTCATCTACCCAAGTAATTCTAGAGCTAAAAAATAAATACATTCAAGCCTTCCACAGATGCTAGTAAATTACTGCAATCTTTACTGGACCTTCTATCTCTCCCTAACATGTCCTTACTTTTGTTGGTTTTCTACAATCCAGTGCTGGGTTGTTAATCCCTTTCTAATGCCCAACTTCTTGCTGTGATATACCTAGTTATTATAATTTTTTATCTGTGCTGTTTCTCTCCTGGTAAGCTTACATTAACTCAATTAAATCAGAACAAGTCTTTAGTAGCTCGCTCACAAGAAGATTTACTATTTATATTTACGTTTTAGAAAATAAAACAATGGCCCAGAAGAATAGATTAATTCAGACAATGACATGGGCCCAAACATTACATAATGGTGATGGTGATGTATTTACTGCCCTTCATCGTAAGATCTCAGGGCAGTTTCACAGAATAAAATACAAGGCAAAAACAGGATGATACTGTATTTCTTGGGATTTACTTTGTCTAAGAAATTGGAAAAAGAGCAAAAAAGTTTCAGTGCAAAGGCTTTGAACAGTATTAGTAACAATGTTGGGTGCCCAATAACAAGAAAAGCAAATGTCAGAATTCTTAAGCTTGCAAATACCTACAGGATACTAATAATTAGGACTAAAAAAAAAGAAATCTACCAAGGATTTCCAGTCTTTTTAAAAGATTCCTCAGTGAAGTGTATTTACATGGGTGCATCTGCCATGTCAGCCTATTGTTTAAAGGGAAACAAAACAGAGTACATTCTGGTTTTGCCTGGCCCAGATCATACCACCTTGTTTCCTGAAAGTTCACGAAATCCTACAGGTACAATCCAGGCAGACCAATCAGGCCTGCTCTAACCTGCTGAACTTTTCCACGAAGCGTTGCAACAGCTCTATGACTGACACACTCATACCGCAGAGCATTACTGGGACTGCCCTTTTCAAAATATACCTGTCAAGAGAGAAGCATAGAGGAAGTGGGAGAGCAAGTAACCAGTAGGAACCAGCTAACAGCAGCCGAGCAGTATCATTGCAGCTCACACCTGTGCAAAACAAGCGAAGTGCTGTGACTGTACACCTGTGAAAGACGTGTCCCTGGAGTCCCCTGCCAGATCTATTTCCTCCTGCAAGCACAGAGCAGTGCCAAAGTGCAACCCAACTAAGGGGGCACCTGGAAGGGAACACAGAGAGGCGGGGCAGTGATAGCACCGACTATTTTTCCTGGCACAGTGTTGCTTGCGGCTGTACTCACCTGCGCCCCACATTCCCCCCACTCACCGGACCAAAAAGAGGAAACGCTGCTGAACGCCTCACCCGAATGGAAGGAAAGGAACACACCTCCACCCCACACACCTTGCTTATTTCCCACTACGACAGCCGGGCAGGGCAGGTTGAGAAAAAAGGAAGCAAGCAGCTGTTATAATAGGCCTGGCAAGCCGTGTTCCTGTTCTCCTAACCCCAGAAAGACCAGCAAGGCATCTGCCCACCCCCCAATCTTGACCAAAAGAGGCAGCAATCCCCATGGGAATAGATGGGGGCCCGGGCAGCAGCTGCCGCCCCCCCCGAATCAAGTAAACAAACAGAAACACTTAGCTAAAAGTAGAAAATGTAGAAAGATTTGGATTTTTCTGAGCACTTGGGTTCAAAAGAAAGTAATTTAATCGTTGAGACATTTCATTCCGAATCTGCTAGAGTCAGAGGACGATGACAGGTGGGTGTCCAGCCCCCTCTAACATAAACCTTGGCTACTTGCCCTCCCCCCAAAACATAAATCCCGAATACTTGTTCCAACATCAATCCTGGCTACTTATCCCAACAAAATCTTGACTACCTGCCCCCCCATAAATCCTGGCTACCTGCTCTCCCCCAATAAGCCCTGGCTACCTGCCCCCCCTAAATCCTGACTACTTGTTCCAATATAAATCCTTGCTCTCTGCCCCCCAACACTTGGCTATCTGCCCCCCAACATAAAATTATGGTTACTTGCCCCCGTAAAACAAATCCTGGCTATGTCTATGGGGCCCACCCCCCATTCTAAGCCTTTTGCTCTCCACCCACCCAAATGCAGCAGCCCCCCCCCCGAGTCGCAGGCGTATTTTCCCCACAGCAAGGCCCTCAGAGGTCAACGGGGCTCTGCTGGCCAAGCGTCCCGGAGCCCCAAGCCACCTACCCTCCCCGAAGCCGCGTTCACACGCACACGCGTCCTGTACACATCCCCCCACGCCCAGCCCGGGGTGGTGGTGGTAAACAGGGGTAAACTTCGGGGGGGGGTTCCGCCGGCCCCCCCCCCAGCCAGGCCTCCTCTCCTCACTCACCACACATTTCTTGCCCAGGAAGCCGAAGAGGCTCTCGTTCTCCTGCGGGGTGAGCAGCATGGAGCCCACATTGGTGATCCGCCGCGGCGGCGGAGGCTGCTGGTTGTTGCTCATCGCGCCGCTCCGAGATGCCGGCCGGCCGCTTCTGCTCCGGGGCTCCGGGCTCTCGTGGCGGCGGCGGCCGCGTCCCCCCGGCTCTCGACCAGCAGCGGCAGCCGCTTCCGCCCCGCTGGCTACTGCGGCGGCGGCGGCAGCATCGGGGCGGCGACCGGAGACGGCGCTGAGGGGGCCGGGCGAGCTCTAGGCCGGAGCCCTTCCTCCTCCTCCTCGGCCTCTCGCTTCACTCTCCCCCCCCCCCTCAAACGCCCCGCTTCGCCCCGGCTCGGGCCGAGCGATCCAACATGGCAGCAGCGGGGCGAGGCGGCGAGAGAGCGGGCGGCGTGAGGGGAAAGAACTCGGCCGCCGGGCCAGGGAAGCAGCGGCGGCGGAGGAGAGAGGCCCGTCCTTCCTCCTCGCCCTCCCTTTCCTGTTCCTTCTTCCCCGCCGGCCTGAGGAGAAGGAGGAGGAGGGGACTGAGTGGCGGCGGCGGCGGCTGCTCTGCTGCTTCTCGCCGCTGTTCCGCGCGGCCCGGTTAGTGGCGCGGCCCGCGGCCTGCCCCGCTTAAATACCGGCCGGGCTGGTCGAGCCTGACTCTCGCCGGGGAAAGAGGCGGCGGCGGCCGGGAGATGGAGAGGCGAGGCCGCCGCCGCTCGTGGGTTGTTGGCCAGGGTGGGAGGAAGAGGATGGGTGGAAGTTCTTCTGCTGGATGGGGAGCAAACTGTGGATGATAAGGATAACAGTAACAAGAACATTGTAAATAAATGAATAAATCTCACAACAACAATAACAATATTCTAAATAAATGAATAAATATCATCATCATCAACATTGTAAATACATGAATAAACCTCACAATAACAATATTCTAAATAAACGAATAAATCTCATAATCAACAACATTGTAAATAAATGAATAAATCTCACAACAACAATAACAATATTCTAAATAAATGAATGAATATCATCAACGGCAACATTGTAAATAAATGAATAAATCTCACAACAACAACAATATTCTAAATAAATGAATGAATATCATCAACGGCAACATTGTAAATAAATGAATAAATCTCACAGCAACAATATTCTAAATAAATGAATGAGTATCATCAACACCAACATTGTAAATAAATGAGTAAACCTCACAACAACAGCAACAATATTACAAATAAATGAATAAATCTCATTGCATTGAAAAACCGAAAAAAACCCATAATAATTAATAATAATAGTTAATTTATATGCCACCCATCTGACTGGGTAACTCCAGCCACTCTGGGCGGCTTCCAACAAATCATTTATTCAATTTATATTCCGCCCTATACCCGCCCAATAAATGGTTTTATTATAAATCATATAGTAAAGCCACTATACGTTGTATAGTCCAACGTACAGACTATAGAACATCATAATAAAACGTTAGAAAACTTTCTTGAGCCTTTAGATGTCTTCTAAAAGGTCGTCCTGATTTGTCATGTCTTTGTTATTATTGTTTCTTCAGTTGATATACCAACCTTTATCCAAAGAGGAGAAAGAGAGTGAAAGGGTAACATAAAATTTCCTAGTGGGTAAGCTGAATAAAGCAGCGTATTCTTCATAAAGGGATGCACTCTGAGTTTTAGGAATCTGAATAGAGGTTACGAGGGCAAAAAGGAAGTGCCACCTCTGACATCATTAGTCTTCATTACATACCTATGGTTGTGGGGAGTATAAAGGTATTCCCTTGCATACTATTAAAAACAAATGGATTTTAAAAAATCCTAAAGTATAACACATCCCAGTGAGACGAGGGAAATTTTAGAGACTACCTGTGATCTGCATTCAAAACAAAAGTGAATCTGCAGTGTACTTTCTTCTGCTTGAACTACAATGTTATCTGAGCATATGAGGATGACCTTAAACGGGTTGGATCTCAGAGTCCTGTTTTGGGCATCACATCATCTGGATTTTCCCTGTTTTTGTGCAATGCCTGCAATATATAAGTCATACAAATATAAAACAAATGAGAGAGTGGGCAGGGGGAATAGAGAGATGGTTTAATGCAACCAGCAAAAGTTGTGTCACAGGGACAATAGCACTCTGCCCACAGTAATATAGATATTAGTTGTTTCATTTTATCCATTTCTATATTGCTTAATGGGATGCGGGTGGCGCTGTGGGTTAAACCACAGAGCCTAGGACTTGCCGATCAGAAGGTTGGCGGTTTGAATCCGCATGACGGGGTGAGGTTCCCATTGCTCGGTCCCAGCTCCTGCCAACCTAGCAGTGTGAAAGCATGTCAAAGTGCAAGTAGATAAATAGGTACCACTCCGGCAGGAAGGTAAACAGCGTTTCCGTGCGCTGCTCTGGTTTACCAGAAGCGGCTGAGTCATGCTGGCCACATGACCCGGAAGCTATACTCTGGCTCCCTCGGCCAATAAAGCGAGATGAGCGCCGCAACCCCAGAGTCGGCCACGACTGGACCTAATGGCCAGGGGTCCCTTTACCTTTATATTGCTTAATCACATTTCTAAGCAGAGTACATAAAAGGAAAATGGTTGGCTGAAACTTCTTCATATATTTGACTGTGATTCACGTTAAATAGATATACAGTAGCTCTGTTTGAAACTGCGGGACTATTGCGATTATATGATGTATGGTGTTCCGTTATTAAAAGCACACATACATGTCTTTTCAGTCGTTGAGACCTAAGAATGCATGTCAGCTTGGTTCAGCTTAGGGATCTCAACTCACTGTTGCCAAGGCTTACTCTGCTAGCACATGACTTCTCTATTATTGATGATGATAATGATTACAAAAGGTGAAGAAGAACCAGTCAGTTGGTCACCTTGTCCTGCTTGAACAGTACTTCCGTTGTGGAACAACATAGCCTCCTACTTGGGAGGTGGTGTTCATACAATTGGCAGGCCGTGATAAAAATAGCGATGGAGGCTGTGCACATCAGTCAGAGGCATGTCTACTTATCCAACAACATAGAGCTCTCCACCATGGCCACCGCCATGTGGGTAAAGGGTGAAGCCCCCTGCCTCCAGCAGAGCTTGGCTTGGTGGGATAGTAGTGGAATTGGGGCAACTGCACGTCAACAAGGCACAAAGATGTTCTCCAGTGCTTCAGACTCCATTCTCATGAGTAAGGCTCTATTGCTGGAAGAAGCATGACATCCTTGTTTTATCTCACTTGCTTATGGAGAGACCTGCCAGATTGATGGCAGACCCTCCAAGTGTCCCGATTTTCCGGGGACAGTCGTAGATTTAGAGGAACAGCCCTGGTTTCTCATTTGATCCTGGAATGTCCCACTTTTCCCATTTTCACCAGAAAAACATTGGAGGGAATGGAGTTATCAGATCCCTGAGCCATCTGAAGGCAGCCCTGTATAGGGAAGTTATTTTAAAATGTTTCATTGTGTTTTTATATATACATACAAACAACTATACGAATTTCAGAAGGCACCTGAAGGCAGCCCTGTTATCGGGAAGTTTTTAATGTTCGATGTTTCCTATTATATATATTATATACAGGTATGTATATATGCATATGGGACGCAGGTGGCACTGTGGGTTAAACCACAGAGCCTAGGACTTGCCGATCAGAAGATTGGCGGTTAGAATCCCCGCAGTGAGCTCCCGTTACTCTGCCCCAGCTCCTGCCAACCTAGCAGTTCGAAAGCACGTCAAAGTACAAGTAGATAAATAGGTACTGCTCCTGCGGGAAGGTAAACAGCGTTTCCGTGTGCTGCTCTGGTTCACCAGAAGTGGCTTAGTCATGCTGGCCACATGACCTGGAAGCTGTACACCGGCTCCCTTGGCCAATAAAGCAGACGAGCGCCACAACCCCAGAGTCGGCCATGACTGGACCTAATGGTCAGGGGTCCCTTTACCTTTTTTATATATTACATTTTTTATATATTCGTGTGTGTGTGTGTGTGTGTGTGTGTGTGTGTGTGTATTCAGTTGGAAGCCACCCAGAGTAGCTGGGGTACCCCAGTCAGATGGATGGGGTACAAATAGTGTTGCTGTTGAACAGGACGTCCCTATTTTCATCAGAGAAATGTTGGAGGGTATGTGATGGCTGGTAGCATTGTTGTGGAATCCAGAGTCTAGGTCGAGCTGCAGTGCTGATACATTTCCCAGATCTTCATCTTTCACATCACAAAACAGAGACAGATTAATAGACCTACTTTACAGGCAACTGTAGCTTTATACAAATAATGAGCAATTTTGCAGCTGAATGTTAAGTCGGTTTACGTACCTGGAGATCCTGCTGCATCATGCTTTGTGCAACTCGGCTGGAATTTGGACGGGCTGCCAACTCCCAGACCCTGGCACATCAGAAACGTTGGCATAACGCGACTGGAAAAGAGCATTTTTGTTAGAAAAAGAATTTTGACTACCGTCTGTTTTCACAGCTGACCAGATTCAACACATATCAGTGCCAAATACACCCAAAGAATTCTGAAAAGCTTGCACAGAAACCTCACTTCGTTTAAAAAAATAGCTTTGCTTTAACATTCCTGGTACTGATTTGAATAATCAGAGTTGGTACTTTTAATGTGCTTGGTGCTTTTGTTTTAACAAAAGCTCCATCTTTAGGAACTGTATTAAAGTTGAATTGTTCATTCGAATTGCTTCGAGATGATTATGTCATCACTTTTAGGCCCAGTGTGGGAGTATTTGGCCTATAGCATGGGTAGGCAAACTAAGGCTTGGGGGCCGGATCCAGCCCAATCGCCTTCTAAATCTTTATGCCCTTTTATTTAAAATGTATCTCTGGGTTATCTGTGGGGCCTGCCTGATGTTTTTAAAGGTAAAGGTACCTCTGCCCGTACGGGCCAGTCTTGCCAGACTCTGGGGTTGTGCGCCCATCTCACTCAAGAGGCCGGGGGCCAGCGCTGTCCGAAGACACTTCCAGGTCACGTGGCCAGCGTGACATCGCTGCTCTGGTGAGCCAGAGCCGCACACGGAAACGCCGTTTACCTTCCCACTAGAAAGCGGTCCCTATTTATCTACTTGCACCCGGGGGTGCTTTCGAACTGCTAGGTTGGCAAGCGCTGGGACCGAGCAACGGGAGCGCACCCCACCGTGGGGATTCGAACCGCCGACCTTTCGAACGGCAAGCCCTAGGCACTGAGGCTTTTACCCACAGCGCCACCCGCGTCCCTGCCTGATGCGTAGAATATGCCCTTTTATTTAAAATGCATCTCTAGGTTATCTGTGGGGCCTGCCTGGTGTTTAAAAATGAGTAGAAGGTGTGCTTTTATTTAAAATGCATCTCTGGGTTATTTGTGGGGAATTCATTCATTTCCCCCCAAAAAATATAGTCTGGCCCCCCACAAGGTCTGAGGGACAGTGGACCGGCCCCCTGCTGAAAATGTTTGCTGACCCCTGGCCTATAGGATGTTACTGAACTACAATTTCCATCAGTTCCAGCAAACATGGCAAATCTACACTTGTGGCTGAAAACAGATTAACATCAGAGCTAGTCATAACTCAGAAAGGAGGGGGGCGGATCCAAAGTCGGGTGCCACCACTAAGAAGGCCTCCAACATTTCTCTGATGAAAATAGGGAAGTCCTATTTAATAATAATCATTTAATAATTATATTATTTATACCCTGCCCATCATACTGGGTTGTCCCAGCCACTCTGGGCCGTTCCCGACATATATAAAATATAATAAAACATTAAACATTTTTTTAAAAAAACTTCTCTAAACAGGTCTGCCTTAAGATGTCTTCTAAAGGTTGTATAGTTACTTATCTCCTTGGTTCAGGGATTGCATAATTCCACACCCTGCAACATTTCTCCAATGAAAATAGGGACATCCTGCCATACCCTCCAACATTTTTCCGATGAAAAGTGGAACATTCTGGGATCAAATCAGAAACCGGGACAGATTCTGTAAATCCGGGACTGTCCCTGGAAAATAGGGGCATGGAGGTTCTGCTTTTGCCCATTTTGATACCCAAGCAAATCTCCTTACAGGCATTCTCTCAGGTAACCACCTCTCAAGTTGTTTTAGGGCTATATATACCAGTACTACAACCTTGAAAGAATACTAACTACCACCCTCTTTTCAGAGCAGAGCACTGGTTAATGAGAACCGCAGAGATTTATTATGGGGAAGTTCCTCTTCAGCATGGAGACCTTCAGCCTAACCGTCTGCCTAATGATAGACTCCCTGAAGCTCCCGCTTCTTCAGAATCAATCTCTCAGAATTCCCCCTGAATGCTGTTAGCAAAAATAAGCTTTGAAGACTGACAGCCAGCAGTTACGCAGCCCACCCAGGGGCATTGAATAGCCAGAAGTCTCAGGAACAGCTTAACAATAGTAAGAAGAAGAAGAAGAAGAAGAAGAAGAAGAAGAAGAAGAAGAAGAAGAAGAAGTGAGATTTCAGAACGACTTTCCAAGTCTCAAACAAGCTAAAAAGACATTGGTATGGAACAGCAAGTCTCCTAATATTGGTTACTCAATTTTGATTTCAGCCATAAGCTAGTATCCCTGTCTCCTCAGATAATGAAGGAAGGCTCTTCATTCCTGTGTGCTTTCTACCCACCTCAGCAGAGGATGTTACCAAGGTATTGAACCAGGAGATGGGGGTGGAATTGTTGCTGACTTCAGGGTATGTTAGTGAAGGACACCGTCAGAAAAGAATATTGATTTGACCGTGACATTCCCGACCAATAGAGGGCTTTTATTTCACCTCAGAAGCGTATGCCGATCTTACCTACTTACGATACAATACAATACAATACAATACAATACGATAATCTTTATTGTCATTGTCCCATACAGAGCAACGAAATTTTTATATATATATATATATATATATATATATATA